ATGTCACAAATTACATCTTTATGTATTACCCATTAACATAAAATTGTACTTATTTTTTGTATGGTTTTGTCATTTAAAATCTATGCAACAAAATTACAATAGTACAAGTTACTATATTTGTCCATGTGTATACCTTTACTGGAGAACCTTGCATTTTCTTACAGCTTTGTTTTCCTGTCTACTATCCTTTTGTTTAAACTTGAAAGTCTCCTTTTTCCAATTCTTATAGGGCAGATCTTGTAATAATAAAATCCTGTAGCTTTTATATATCTGGGAAAGCCATAATTTCTTCTTCATTTTTGAAGGGCAATTTTGCTGGTTGATAGTTTTTTCTTAGAGCACTTCAAGTCCATCACCCTACTCCCTCCTGTTCTGTAAAGTTTCTGCTGAGAAATCTGCCAAACATTTTATGAAAGCTCCCTTGTATGCGATGGGTCACTCTTCTCTTGATACTTTAAGATTCTCTCTTTGTCTCTGACTTTAGACAGTTTATTTAGAATGTATCCTGGTGTGGGTCTTTCAGATTTATCCTAGTTGGAGTTCTTTTAGGTTCTTGAATCTGTATGTCTATTTCTTTCCTCAGATTTGGGAAGTTTTAGACATTATTTCTTTTAATAAATTCTAAGTCCCATTCTCTCCTCTCTTTCTGAGATTCTCAGAATGTCTATATTGGTCTATTTGATAGTGTTTCCTAAGTTAGTTCATTAGGCTCTGTCTGCTTTATTTTTTTTTCCCCTTTGATCCTCTGAGTCAATCATTTCCAATGACCTGTCTTCAAGTGTGCTGATTCTTTCTTTTGTTTGTCATGTCTGCTGTTGAATATTTTTAATGGCATTTTAATTCAGTTATTGTATTTTTCACTTCAGAGTTTCTCTTTAGTCTTTTTTTATAGTTTCTTTATCTTTGTTGACATCTCACTCTGTTCACACACGTTTTCCTTATTTTCTTTGTCTATCTGTGTTCTCTTTTAGCTCATTGAGCACCTTTACAACACTTTTTTTTTTTTAAAGCCCTTTGTCAGGTAGCTCATAGATCTGTGTTGCTTTAGAGCTGTTTCCTGGAATTTCATTTTATTTCGTTGATGTTGCCATATCTCCATTATTTTGTATGCCTTGTAAATTTTGCTGAAATTTGGGCATTTGGAAAAAACAACCACTTCTCCTAGTCTTTGATGCTCTTTTCATGCAAGGAAGTTCTTCATCAGTTTGAGATTCTGCAACCTCTCAGCCTTTTCTCATGTCTTGCTCTCTGGGGTCTGCCTGTGTAACTGAAGCTCTAACATGCTGCTTGTCTCTGTTGTCAGTGGCTTTCAAACTATGCCACTTTTCCAAACTTCCATCAGTGCTCTGAGTCACACAAGACAACAACCAGTTCTTCAGACAGTTCTCGGACAAGCCAGAATATTGGATGCATGGTTCACTCTTTTGCTTCTATCAAGAGGGAGGGTCCCATATATGGAGTGTTCTTCTATGCTATGTATAGGAGAGGGGAACAAACAGGTGTGACAAATGTCACAAATTTTTCTACCCCCGTTTTATAGAATTCCCTTTTGGTTTTACAGTGGGCTAGTGGTGCAGGAGGAAGGGGGTTCTGTAGCTCCCTAGTTTGCCATTTTGCTGATGTCACTCCTTTCTTTTGTATTTTCATGCCTGGAGTAGACTTTCTTGGCTTGAGGTTACCACTTGCTGATTCTTTTATTTTCATCTTGTTGCATAAAATTATTTTCTTATCACTCTTTTTTTTGTGGCCATCTTCTGTCCTCTGTTGTCCTTCACATTCAAGAATAACATTGTTTTTATTTTATTCTATTTTCCTGTTCTTCTCACCTCCCACTATTAACATGGTGAAGTTCAAGTTTAAAATAAGCGATGTAGTCAAAAACCTGTCTTTATTGTTTCTACTATCACCACATTCTAAATCTCAGGTTTACTTATAATCGTTCACCCTTTGAATTCTTTAATTTTAATATCATTGTGTGTCTGTGTGTAATCAATCTCTCTCTCTCATTATCTATTTATATTTTACAGGGAAAAGACAGTCCTGAATTCTGACATGCTTTTCTGTAAATGTGTCATTTAGCTGATTAGATGATCAGATGCATCCATAAGTATAACTAGAAAAATTCTCCAGGTGTAAATTCTCATGAGGGAGTATGTGTATGTATATATATCATAATAATTATATAGCAAGAATCTTTTGTGACAGAAGATAATTGTGTAAGTGGTTGGTTTTGTTCTCCATATTCTGTTAACAAGCAAAATTATCTATCAGTATATTTCAAGCTACATATGGACAAATGAAGACTTGTTTTGTTGATATTTCTAGCTCCTTTATACTTAGGCTTTTGCAAGCATCTGTCTGAAGGAAACACCTCACCTGAAATCAATTATTTTTGATACGGCCATTGTGAATTTCTCATAGTCATAGTCATGCTTTAGAACTGAAAGTTAAACTTCAATGTACTAAAAGCACTATTTTAATCCCCTGATTAGATATCAGACTTCTATCCACTTTATTGACCTTTCTAAGATATCCCCACACTTTTCACTTACTACATGATTGTGGTCCATGAACAAACTGAAATATGAGAGTACTACAAAAATATGAAAAATGAAATGAAAAGATAATACAAATTTTTCCATGAACTTTTCAAAGCTCCTTTGTACCTGAGATAACTTTTAGCACATTCCCCACCTCAGGCTAACTGTATCTTGGGAAGAGAAGCAGTTTATCAGACAGGAATCTGCATTATTAAGAAGTTTCCAAGTGATTCTTCTTAGAGGGGGTGTGATATTACGATATGTATATTTTGGGGTTCATCCACAGTGCTCGGTTTGTTCTAACCTTCCCCCACCTTTTATCTTACAGCTGACAATGAATAAATTCTCTGACCTACCTTATCTGATTATAGGTCATAAAACCCTATTTCAAGAGGGACCCTGCCCCAAATTTGGGAGGAAGGAATGCTGCACAGAGAAACCCCAAAGAATCTGAACAGACTGGCCTAGCTGGATTTTCCCACCCAGTCTCTTAGAGTTAGATCATACCCTTTTTGTTCAATCACATTTCTGTATGATTGTCCATGCTTCAATCATGTCTATGTGATGAAGCTTCTATAAAAGCCCAAGAGCACAGGTTTCAGGGGGCTTTGGATAGCTGAACACGTGGAGGTTCCTGGAGGGTGGCACACCTGGGGAGGGCATGGAAGCTCCCCGCTCCTTCCCCCATCCCTCACCCTTTATGTCTCTTCCTCTGTATCCTTTGTAATATCCTTTATAAGAAACCTGTAAACATAAGTATGTGCTTCCCTGATTTCTGCAAGCCACTCAGCAAATCAACTGAACCCAAAGAGAGGGTCATGGCAATCCCGACTTATGGCCAGTCAGTCAGAAGCCCAGGTAAAACAACCTGGGATTTGCATCTGGCCTCTGAATTGGGGGCAGTATTGTGGGACTGAGCCACTGTGGGATCTGATGCAATCTCTAGGTACGTAGTGTTGGAATTGAATGAGAGGACAGCTGACTGGTGTCCACTGTAGAATTGCTTGCTCGCTGGTGGCAAGATGTACCCACACATTTGGTCTCAGAAGTTGGTCTTCTGTAATTTCGATTGTGACTGTTGTTGAGTTAGAGAAGTGAAAAAAGCACTTCATCATGTTGTTGTTGTTTTTTCTCCCCCCAGAACAGAAGAGGTCTTCAAAAAGTTCATGGAAGGATTCATGTTATCTTTCATTTCAATTTTTCCACTAACTTTTTGAAGTACCATCATATACACTAAAGCTTATATATACTAAAGCTTGAGAATAGTTCTGTAAATATACAGAATTTTTTTTTATGTAGATAATCCAGACTATTCTTTCATAATTCTGGCAGATTGCGCATATCCTAAAAATTTAAATAAGATATGTGGCAGTACCAAATGTCCTTGCACCAATGAAATGACTGCTGGCTATCAAATAGCCAGCTAGTTGAAGAATATTTTAATTGAATCACTGGAGGGTGGGTTGTGAAACTCTCACACATGCTTATATCTCGCTTCATAATTGTCAGAGATCTTTAGGGAATAAGCATGTGCCCCCATCACATGCACTTAGTGAAAATTTTCTGCTGTGAGTAAACACTCCCTATCTTCTGTGGTTCAAAGCCGGAGGACAGCTTCCACCGTCAAGCAATTTTGAGCAACTGGTACAATTCTGCTGCAGTCACAAAAAGTTATTTTGAGGAAATCCATGATTTTTCTCTTTTTTTTTCACTGCAATGTGAGAATGTCGGTCTTGGTGGTATCTAAGTTCCTGCTCTAAGATCCTGTGCCTGAAAATCCTTGAAATAGGTAGGAAATTCCATAGACTCAAGTCATCTCCTTTTATAATTCTGGCAGGTTTCAAATTCTTGTACTTATGTAGAGACTCTGTTATACCTATGAGCACCTTTAGAACTAACCTAAGAGTAGTCTACAGATTGCTGCTTTTTGTGTTGTATTATTGAGGGGCGTTTCCCATATCTACACCCCCATCTCTCACATTTCACAACTTCCTATGGAGCACAGATATTTCAGGAAGATTTTAGAGCTTTTGAATAGCATCATGGACTTCTTTGCATTAATTTTTTTATTTTTACAAAATTGCATTAAATTGTATTTATTTTAATTACTGAGTTTAGGGGACCTCCTTCCATTTGAACTCCAGTCTAGTGCATTTGCCTCTCCTTGGTTCTGGCCCTGAGAGAGGAATCTGAAGAGAATGGTTATAGAAACAAGAGCGAACAATCCTTTTCATAATTTTATGGGAAAAAAAGCCAATTAATTAAGAAAGGTAGGACTGGGTAAAATGAACACCTGGCAAGTGGATTTTCTCAATACTTTATAGAAAAAACCACCAACTAGGGGCGTGGAGGATGGGGACACGAAAGAGATGGCAAAGCATTTCAGATGTGCACTTCCTTTTGCTGGTCTCACTTCACAGAGCTTAAACACCAGTTTAGAGACACATTTGCCCATTTCCCATGGACAGACAAATGGTATATGCTGATTTAAACTTACCCAGGAACTCAGGCCTTGACAGTTCATTACCCCCATCTCTTCCTAAGGGTAAGTGACTTTAATTTTTCTCTTGGTATTTGTATGTCTTCCAGAATTAGATTTTCCTTTTAAATTTATAGCTTTAAATCATTGCTTTGAAGACGAGCAGTAGTTCTATATTAGCATTAAATAGGTATAGCATAGCTTGCCTGTAGATAATCACAACTTCGGAGAAAAAAATCATAATTTTTTTAATCAAGATAGCATGAAAAATGAATATTGCTTCCTTTACTGAGCCTTGGTTAAAAGACCCTGAAGAAACAACATATTACGCATAAAATAAAGGAGTATTTTAAGATATACATTGCAATCTTGCTGTATTAGCAACCAACCTTATTCTGAATCATTCCACCAAATATCAATACTGTAATTAAGTTCCAGTTCACTTGCATCCATAGAATTTCTTTCAAAAAACAAAGCGTAGGCTTAGTGATTAACATCTTTCATTCTCCAAAGGGAGGGGAAAAATTTCTATCAAATCCTAGAAAATCCTATTCAAAATCAAAGACATACATAATTACAACTTGGTACTTTCTACTTTGAAAGGTATCATAGCTTAAAAAGATAAGTCAAAAGATCCTGGAGTATGTTAGTAATTAACCTTTTTAACATTTGCTGAATTGAGCACTTTTCTGTTTGTCACAGCAGTTAGTATTACGAGTGAAAGAAATAGGGAAGGCCAATGCGAGGTAATATATGATGGATCACAGCCTGGGAATGGATGAGAAGAGATGGGAAACCAAGGCAGAAAATTAGTATGAAATCATCACGAACAGGATCACCACCTTCTAGAATCTAACTGAATTTGCTGACATCGATATACTACAATTGTTTTTCAGTCTGATATTCACTCTATATCATGCAAAGCATGTGAATAATATCCTTTTTAGGACAGCTTGTTTTAAATTTGAAGCTGTTAAATTATCAAAGTTTAGGTCAGGAAGAAAGTTTTAGGGTCATCAAATAAGTTTCACTATAATCTTCATATAGGGATCAGGGGAAATTAGAGGATTTTGATAACTACAGGGAATATTTGGTTAAGCCACAGTCATTTTTTTTTTGTTGAGAAAAAGCAAGTCCTTTTTATCCCTATTCCTACCTAGCAAAAGTTGAGGGGGTGTTGAAAAGGAGTGTCAAAAAATGAATACAGAGGAAGATAGTAGGACTTTCCCCACATGCTACTATCTATGCACAAAACAATGAGTCCCGAAAATTTGTCAACTCTGACTGTAATCGTTATCTCACAAAATATCATTTTCAAAGTGAATCTGAAAAAATAATAGTGCAATCACGCCAGAGCAAAATGTGTGACTACACAACACTGATCTGGTATTACAATGATGTGAAACCACGGGTAGACGCAGGCAAATGTGCGCAGGCTGTGGCGTTGTACACTGATGATATCTAAAGCAGCAAAACCAGAAAGAGGTGTGAGTGATTACCTATTTTGCTTCGGGCCGAACGACCAAGGCTTTGATCAGTGAGAAAAGTGGATAAAATATTTGCAAAATACCTCTGGAGTTTATTCATTCATTCAAAAATGCGTGCCTACTCTGTGCCAGGCATGCTAAGGATACAGCAGTGAACAAGATAGAGAAGAATCTTTTCCTTCATAGTGTTTATATTACCATGGAGGCATAAAATCACTAATATAAACAAATAACTAAGTATGTGTAAAAGATTAGATGGTGTTAAGTCAGTGTTATGGAGAAGAATTTTAAATGGAAGTGTGATACAGGCTTTGGGGGGGTACCATATCGAACAGGATAATCATGGGAGGCCTCCCTGGGATGACATTTGGGCCAAGACCTGAAAGAAGTGAAGGACAAGGGCACACGCTCTGAGAGAAGAGCCCTCTGGGGAGTGGTCCAGCAAGTGCCAAATCCCTGAGATGAGAACAGACCTGTTGCATGGTAGGAGCAGTGTGCATACAGAGTGCCTGCATGGACACCAGGTGGAGATGAAGTCTGGTGAGAAGCGGGGAGCCAGAGTGAGAAGAGATTGTCAAACCACTTTACAGACTCAGATCTGCTCGATGGAAATCCACTGAAAGGTTTAGAACAGTGGAGTGAGATGATTTAACACAGTGTTTATACCCAAGAAAGAGTAGTCTTAAGTAGGTATTTCCAGGTAGCTAAAGTTCTTAAGTAGGTATTTCCAGGTCACTAAAGCTCATCTGGCCTCTTCGGCGTAGATCACTGAACTGTAACTCCATTAATTTCAATTTCGTGCAGTGCAGCAGAAACACTCAGCACTTAGAAAATCATTGTTTCTTTTCATAATCGTTTATCACATTTAGCTATACTAAATTCTATCCCCTCAGGAATATTTTAGAAAGAGATGATTAACTTGGATGAAGTGCAGCAGAAACAGTAACAGGAGACCATTCCTCGCAGTCACAGGACACTCCACTTGATTTCTTCAATTTTAACATGAATAACAATTTTTAAAAGTCACCCAAATTGCCTTTTATCTATAGTAAATAAAACACCTTTAGAAAAGACAAAAACTACTATTTATTGAACTGTTACCAAGTGCCAGACACTATACCCAACATTTTAGAATTATAACAATTTTTAAAAGTCACCCAAATTGCCTTTTATCTATAGTAAATAAAACACCTTTAGAAAGACAAAAACTACTATTTATTGAACTGTTACCAAGTGCCAGACACTATACCCAACATTTTAGAATTACTTTTCATAATTTTCTCTAAAACTTTATGAAGTGGCTATTATTCCACATTTTACAGGTAGGGAAGTTTGTAATTTATGAAGGTTGAACATATTGCCAAAATATGTTCAAATGCAGATCTTCTATATTTGAAGGACTCTGTTCTTAATCAATGCTAGACTTTTAGTAATAAATTTTAAAATACTGATTTCTCCATTTTGCAAACGAATGTGGAATTTCAAGGGAGGAAAGGGTGAGGAAGAGAAAAAAGCTGTCATAATGTACCTATATCAAACTGGAAAGGAAGGCATCCCAGGGCTGTCTTAGGCTCGTTGACTGGATTTAGTCACTCTTCTGTCACACTAGTGCTCACCAGAGGTTCGAGGCCAATGTCACCAAGCTTGGTGTCCTCATATGCACATGTATTCCAAGGGCCTTGGCGTCTCATCTGTGTAGCTACTCTTACCTTCCTGTCCACCAACACTTGTGCTCAGTAGTGCCAGGTGATAATCCGCATGTCACTACCTTGAATCTCATGTATTTTATGTTTCCTCTCATCATCATTTATCACGTTTAGCTACACTCAATTCTATCTCCTCAGGAATAATTTGGAAAGAGATAATTAACTTACATGAATGTCAGCATACTAATGGGAGAGACCATTAGTACAACAGACCCTTGAACCATGCTGGGGTTAGGGGGTGCTGACCCACGGTGCAGTCGAAAATTTTCATATAACTTTTGATTCCCCCCAAACTTAACTCCCAATAGCCTATTGTTGAGGGGAAGTCTTATGGATAACATAAGTAGCCGACTAACACATATTTTGTATGTTATATGTATTATTATTCTATTCTTACAATAAAGTAAGCTAGAAGAAAGAAAATGTTATTTAAAAAATAATACAGAAGAGAGAAAGCATTCACAGTACTGTACAGTATTTATTGAAAAATATCTGCATAAAAGTGGACCCACACATTCAAAACCTGTGTTGTTCAAGGGTCAACCATGGTTGTCTGAAAACTGGATCGCACAACTTAGTCCCAGGGGTCACGTGAAAAAGAAAGTGATGAAATGGCCATATAGGCTATTTTGGAACATGTAATGAACATAAAAGACAATATTGTAACATGTCTGATGCTCAAGTTTTTAACGTGTAACTCAAAACAAGTAATCATTTGCACAGAAAAATATTTTTTTTAATATAAAAAGGAGTAAATAATATAAATAAATCAATAGCTGCAGATAATTTAAAATCCTTTATTTATCAAGGCCCTTGGCTCTAATAATACAATTTAGAAAACAATTTTTAATCATAATAGATCTAACATGTTTATAATCCAAATGGGAGCAAAAGGGGTCTTATAATTAAATCGAGATATAGGAGCTATCCAAGCATTACCTCAAGCAGAGTAACTGAGATATAAACTACCAGAATAATTCCCTGGGCTAATTAAATTTTGGAAGCTGTAATTCAGTGTTTCTCCAGATTATTTTTTATAAATAAGTTACTCTTTATTATTTTTCCCTATGAGATCCATGTTTTTAAAGATGTCTATGAGCAAAATACATTGATAAAGTTGTGATTAATTTATGATGACCTTTAATTAATTAATTATATGACAGCAACTACTGATGAACACGAGATATACATTATACAATAGTTGATGTGATTACAAAGAAAAGCAAAGATATCTGACTTTTGTTTAGACCATGCAATGTTGTAGATATGTACCAGTTATGTTATACTAGTTGAAATGCTGAAAATAACACACAGTACCACAAAACATTCTTCCTTAAATGCCATACATTAGATGCGAGTTAAAGATTATTGTTCTAGACAACAGTTAATCAGTCTCATGTTCCAGACTAGAATTGCATATCACTAGCACTTAACATGGTGCTTGGCAAAAAAACAGTGCCTCAAAATATATCTTGAATAAATGAAGGTCCTGCTTCTTAGACAAAATGCTTTGGCTTACTTCCTACAATCTGGCATGCACTTCCTTCTTGTACACCTCTTGGCAATTTTCAAAACATCTTCACAGCCATCTCATTTAAGATTCACACTAATCTTTTACACACACAGCATGCATAAACATTCCCATTTTATCAATGAGCAAACTCTCAGTTAGACCTGAGAATCCTTCTTGTGGGACTCTACTTTTAGGATGGCTAATAAAGGTTCTCTCCTGCTCCCAGTCCCCAACCTGAGTCTAATTGCCCATATGTTATCCAAACCCCCTTTGGTTTTTGCACCAGATGTCCTCAACTGAATTAACTGAAAATGGTTTTTTTTTTTTTTTTCCAACTTCTCAGATGTCTGTCAGGGTCCACCTTGGCATCAATTTGCTCTGAAATTTGCCTGTGCTGGGATTATTGTCCTTATTTTGATTGTTGTTGGGTTGAGTGTTTCAGGTAAGTCAGGTAAAATCATTTGTTTCAGAATATTTACTCTACATCCATCATACACAGAGCATGGAGCCAATTTGGCCACCCCAAACTCAGCAAAAGACCAATGCAATAAAAAGTCACCAAACAGTGCTTCTAACAGTCAGCCCATGTCCACTTTGGAAACTTTAGCCTTTCACGTTTCTCTTCCTAATTGCTCTGAGAATCATCACGGGGTATTATTGCATGTGTGCTCCACGAACTTAAAAGAAGATCACAATTGTGACAAAAAAATAACAATTTAAACTCTCAATTATTTTCAGTTTATCAAGTATCTGGTAAGTTCTATATTGAAGCAGACAACCTCTCCCTTGGAATTGGCATAATTGTACTCATTCTGAAGAGGAGAAAGTTCAGGCTAGAGTGTGAGCAATAACGGTGCAAGCAATGCTCTAGGTTGACTTATCCGGTAGATAAAGGGTGACCTGATATCTGTGTGAGTCCACTAGTTATGTTTTTCTTGTTCGAGTATGTATGCTTTCTCCATACGGGACCCTCATTACCGCCTTGCTATGGCCGTTCTCTTCTGTCCACATTCAAGCTTGTTGAGATAACTCAGTTTCCGGAAGTGATAAATGTAACTCATCCATTTCGCCACACTTTTCATCACTGAATCCTTTTAATGTATTTTTCTTATTCACTAGTGATATCCTTAATACAAAAATCATCAATAGAAAAAAGCAGTGTGCATGTTCAAGAGAACAAGAATGGAACAACAGGTAACTTTGGGGTTTGAATTTCCTAACAATTAGTATTTGATAGATATCATGAATGGCCTTGGTTAAGGCTTACAGCAATCCATACATTAAGAAACTGCTGTCACCCTGATTTTATGTTTGAGAAACTGAAGCATAAAACAGTTAAGCAACTCGCTGAGAGTCACTCAAGGAGTACGTGGCGTGCCATTGTCCTTAGCTGGTCTGAATTTGGAGCCTAACACCTCAACCATGAGGAAATACTGCCTCATGAGAAGCCTCTGCTAGGATATTCAGTATTCAATCATTAACAGCCAAATATCAAGTTGAATATTTGGTTGTTTTAATGAACATGTCGAACAGTTAACTTTGGTTGGAAGTTAGTAGAACTCAAAACATAGAATGAATTTTTTTCAATTTATTAAACCTCCTCAACAGGTAGCAACATTGATCTTGTTTCAGTGTGTGTTTATAAAAGGGACTGTTGTTGACTGACTGTAGCAGAATGTGATCTGTGGGCACATTCTCACAGGACAGAAATTTTTAAAACCCTGGAAAATTATTCTGGAAAGTGCTGCCCAATGGATCACATTAAGTAGGCAAACAGATCATTTGGCAATTAGGAATTTTCTTATGATTTCTTTTCTCTGTGGTATTTCCCATTAATTTAGTGAAAGGCATTGGTATTTGCTTCGCCTTTTGCATGTTGTTTAAATCCTGCTTTTTTAGGGTGAGTTTGATACTGTTGTCCGTGTGATGGAAAAGTACTGGTGATGCACTGAAGGAAACTGAAAAATAGTCCTGACTCTACCACCCTCTAGGTAGAGTTGAATGAGTTATTCTGTCTCTCAGTTTCTTAAAATGTGACTGTTTTAAATTATTTTGGTGATATTTTCCTATTCATGTGGGTGTTTAAATTATTTTGGTGATATTTTCCTATTCTAATATTCTGTGATTCCATTTATGCCCAGTATAACTGGTCACTGATTCCTAATTGTTGATACCAGAATAAACAGTAGGTCCTAAAAAACATCAAAATTATAAGATCATTGTTCTCATCATGATAATCAAAGACTTCTCAGAATTTGTGATGACCCGTGTGTGATGGATTGTGGTGTGGTGGGGACAGGTTAGAAACATAACACTTATTTATTTCTTCTTTCCATTGTTTTACTTTAGAGAGACCAGGTCTGTTGGAGTGCCCAAAACATTGGCATCCACTCCCAGGGAAATGTTTGTTTTTATCTCCCACTCTCAGCTCTTGGAATAACAGTCTAGCCAACTGTTCCACAGAAGAATCCAGATTGTTGCTTATTCAAGATCAGGAAGAATTGGTAAGTTATTAAATCAAATACCTTAATAGAACTTAGCACTTTCTTTAAACCATATCAAGAACTCTGGGCTTGAACGCAAAGTTTCTGTGCAGTGGAGGTGGAGACTTCAGCTTCAAGAAACACATCATCTGAGAGGCTAAATAGACATGTCAGCAAATAATTAAATATAAGGTGATGAACACAACAATACAAATTTAAATTTATGAAGAAAAGTTTCACAAAGAACTAATAATTAACTCTGATGAGGATTTAGAAAAGACTGCATAGAGGGGCTGATGCTTGAACTAGCTCGTAGAGAATGCGCGCGAGAAGACAAACATGAACAGTAAACAGATTCAGTATTCAGTCCTTCATTCTGTTTTGTTTATAGAAACTCATACAGAACCTGATAAATGAAGAAGGAATTCTATATTGGACTGGATTACATTTTGTACTATCAGAGAAGAGCTGGAAGTGGATAAATGGCTCTTTTTTAAATTCTGATATGTAAGTATTAGATGAACCACATTTAATATCCATCTCACATCAAGTTTACATTGCGAAAGTAACAACATTATTATTGAAGATTGAGTTTTGTAGTTTTAACTTGGCTTAGAAATTCTCAAGAGGTTCAGAATGGACTGAGGAGAATAATAATTCCAAAGATGGTTGAATAGTTCCAGGTATAAAAAGACATCAGCCTTTTATAGGAATATGCATTTTTATCTGCAGTGGAGTTTTAGGGGACAAAAAATAGACTAACTTGTTTGGAAGGTGCACAGGAATTTATTTTATTTTATTTTTTTAATGTCTTGCTGGAGTAGATTGGCAAATAGAATTGCTTAGGTAGTGTTTTTCAAACTGTGGGAAAATATACCCCAGTGGGTCATGAGACCAATTTAGTGGGTCACAATCAGTACTGAAAGAATGATTATAAAGGAGGGGTAAAAAATACCCAGACACTTAAGATAAACTGCCCACTTTGTGACAAACATTGTAGTGTATTTCGACCAGTGGTGCGGAAGAAGAGGCAGATATCTGAGGGAATGTGATGAATACATGCACAGACCACAAAGAGCCATTAGCTGTTTACTCTCCGGTGACTCATTATTGTGTCTTGTGTAAGATGGTCGAGATGACCATCAATGTGACAAGAACGTCGATACTACACAGTTACGTTACATATTTTAGCAGAATTCGTGGTTAATTGGGCACTGTATTTTTTCGCCCACAATCAAAAGTGTGCAGGCATTCAACCAAGTTTCCGTGAAGAACTTTTAGTGAGTTTTTCAGCAGAGATGATCCTTTTCATGAGTCCATAAATGATTTAATTAAATTTGCTTACAATTAAATACATTTGTGAAAATGTATTTTTATTATTAAAATAAAGAGGTTAAAACTTAAAACACTGGAGCATATTCAAGTTCATCTAAAATTCAGTGATAGTTTACTAAGTATGAAAAGGTATTAATCATTGAAAGAAATGGTGGCCTAGTTAGCAAATTTTGACACTGATGTTTTACGGAAGGAGACACTCACTGACCTCTGTTTGGAACAAGAATGAAAGGGACCTCTGAGCATGTGTCGTGTGAACTGAGCCTCTTCCTCACTGTATCCAAATTCTATAGGCCCTGTGAATCCACCACACCTTCACATACTTATACATTTATGAGCACATACTTTGTTTAGTCTTTGTCACACCTCCACATGTATCATCTCAATGCCTCCCCAAATGTTAGGTGATCATACCCTATATAGTTCCAAAAACTAGGGCTCAGTGAAGTTAAGAAACTTTTCACATGACTTGTTAGTGACAGAATATCATTATGATGTTTGTTATAAGAATTCCTTTCCAGTGAAAATGAATTTGAAACTCTCAGAGGTTTATATCACCTTCTCTTAAAAATTTATGCCATTTTATTTGTGATGCACTTACGATGTACACATTTACTATGCCTAACAATTTAGCATTCCACTGCTTCCTGAAAGTCCTAGAAAATAATAGTTACCTGAAGATAATTATGAGAAATTCCTAAACACTAAGTTAGGCTTTTCTTTTGCTCCATAGGTTTCAAATTACTGGCGATGCTGGAGAAAACAGATGCGCTTTAATCTCTCAGAAAAAAGTTTTTTCTGAGAACTGTGATTCAGAAAATAAATGGATCTGCCAAACGGAACTGAAATCTGTTAGAAATAAAGAGTGTCCCGACTGTTGACTGGTGAATCCCTTCTCAGTTTCTTTGCTTCCTACTACAGATCTCCGTGCTTTCGGCCACACGTGCGGCTGCTACTGCCCCATGGGCACTTAGCAGTACAACATGAGCCAGGGCTGAGAATCCTGAAACTGTGATGACTCCTACAGAAGTTCAGGTTCAGTGGATTCACTCTGTAAATGAGGAAACAGACATAGAGAAGACAGGTGTTATTGTATGAGTCAGTCATGTTCTATAGAAAGAAGCCCAGACTGGCTGAGGGGACTGGATTCCAACCCTGGTGTACATGTGTGCCTGTCATTAATTCCCTTTTCGCCCCAGCTCAACTCTAGAAAAGTTGGAGGAAATGATTTCTAAAGTCCTGTTTATCTGTCCTGGTCTATGGTTTTTTTGGACTATCAAACAGCTGAGTTGTGGCAGAATATTGATTAACTTCCA